ACACAGTTAGAGCTGCCACAAATTACAGCCTGACTTGTTAAGAAAAACCAAAATGAGTGGCAATTTACATTCATAGGTTGTCCCGTGAACTGGGGCAGCTCAGCTACTGCTGCTGCTTCTTCAGGAGCAGTCAGTCTATCCTGACTGCTGGAGCCAAGATGTTTTGGGAAGGCATCTGGGGACACGAGTCCACTGCAGCCACTCTGAGGGGAGCTGTCGCAGAAGCCTGAGGACTTATTTGCATGGAGGCTTTGCCATTTCAACTAGAAAACTCCTTGTTTTACCCTCCTGCACTCAAGCGTACATATATTGTGATACAAGTGAGTCATTTCCATCTGTCTGTCTATCTATATTTTTAACTTCAGTGGGATAAACATGCTAATGATGTATGCTGCTATGATCAGAGTGGTCTAAATAGGTGCTGTGACAACACTGGCACTGGAGGTACAGCTGAGTCAGGGTGCAGTGTGTATCTGGATATCCGAGCATTTTAAGCCTAAGTGAGTTGTGAGGGACATGTGCTGGGGATAACCATACAGCTGCCTGTTCCTCCTTGGTTGAAGTGATGACCCCAGCTGCACGTGAAGCAGCTACAGAGCTACTGCAGTTTACAGTAGCATCTGTTGTTGCAAAGAGGAGAACATCCTGCTGAGGAACATGACAGCAATTACAAATGTAGTCCCTCCTTCATTCCCAAAGTGGATGGCATTTTCTTTCATAAAAGGAACTATGAAGCTTTTTTCCTCTGTATGTGTTCACATATTCGTTTACTTCCTTTGTGGTTCCTAGAATGGTTGCTTAGCCAGTGTTGGCTTCTTCAGGGGATCTGAGAGTCTGGGATAGTTCAGGTTATGAAAAGTCTGGCTAAGCATGGGCTCTGCAAGATTGAATAGGTACCACTTTACCATACTTTTCTGGAGCTCCAGTCCAGCAGGACTTAGGTGTGGCTCAGTGCACTTACCCAGCTGGTATCTATTTGGCACTGGTGGTGATCTTACACAGCGTGGTGAACCTGGAGTGCTGGAGTCAGCACACAGATACTAAATTTTGTTTGAGTGCTCACTCAGGTCAAAGGCTTCCTGGCACAGATCATGCCAGAAATTACTGTATTGGTGTTGGGAAAGCAATTATCATTTCTCTGACTGGCTTTGCAAGGAGTCGGCTGGGTTGTGTTTGCACCCCTGGTATGCGGAATTTGCAACCTGGATATATTACACTGGGTCATGTTTACCTGCTGGGAACTGGCTGTCATCTTCTGATCAGACAACTTCTCTCCCAACTGTACTGTCTCAACTTTTCATGCTGATGTTGTGTGATCTGCCACATTTTGATCTGGCCCTTGCAACTGATAAGTGCTGTTAATGTCTCTATTCAGGCTACTTAAATTGCCAGTAGGAGGAGTGACAGGGAAACTGAGACATGGATGGGAGGGGAAAAAAGGCACCCAAAATTTTAATCTGATGTCATTCTTAGTCTGCATGGATTCATGATTTACTTATTGACAGTAACAAATTACAAGGCACTTGATTTTATTCTTTTCTGTGTACAGACTTGCAAAAGAAAGTTCAGCTGTGGTCGTTGCCTGCTTGGATAGGTGATTAGTTGCTTCAGAACGTGATCTAGGATATTAATTTGTAATAACTGGCCACACAAGGGTGATACTCAGTTGTAAATGCTTATGGCAATCAGGTGCTGCCCAACATTGAAAGAGAATGGTAATACATTATGCAGAGGCAATGCTTGTGAGAGATGCTCTCATGAAGGATTTGTTTTGCACCCTCTGGAACTGTTTGATTTACGTTAATAAGTATGTTAAAAAATTAATAAGTATGTTAAAGTTTTGGGGATAGACATTTGCAAAGAGCTGCTATCGCTTCTGTTCCTAAAGCTAACTAGCAGTGCATTGTGATTTAATTTGTGTGCATCTCTGCTTTCTTTTTCAGATATATGTATTGGACTGACTGGGGTGAAACACCCAGAATAGAACGGGCAGGAATGGACAGCAGCACGCGAAAAATAATTGTCGATTCAGATATTTATTGGCCGAATGGACTCACGATAGATCTTGATGAGCAGAAACTTTACTGGGCTGATGCAAAACTGAGTTTCATTCATAGGGCAAATCTGGATGGTTCCTTTAGGTAAGTTTCCTTCAGCCAGTAATATGGTGTAAGTAATTTTCACCTCCTGCATTCATTTTGAACTGAGGCTGTTTTTTTTTCAGTAATCTAGAATAATGCCAATACCTTAACGTTCTTTTTAAATGCCATTGTTAATAGCCTTGCAAAGAGTGAAATAGTCTCACATTCTGTAAAACTGGTTTTAAAAGTAAGACTATTTGTATCAGTATTTCACTA